AGCTCGAAAAGTGCTGACTTTGAATTGAATTATCTCCAGATTTTGATCACCAACCCGTACAAATAAGGATACCATTGGATTCAGCGCGATCTCAACTTTAATAATATACCATTTAAAGTTCTTGTACATTCCGTGATGGAGCCTTCTTAATTCTGTTACCATCTGGAGTATTGTTTAATTAAATATTGTTCATTAAAATAATCATTCTTCCTTAAACTCATCGTTTTACACAAGCTTAACTTTTAAAATCTCGCGCTCAGCTCCGACTTCAAACTTTGCGCTTAGCAGTACTACCTACCAATCGTTAGGTGGCAACTGTTAGTTTCTAGTTAACATCACAAGTAAGAATGTAGCTAAGAGTATATAAGAAGAGTTTCGCGATGACCAAGCTGCTTTTTATGAATCTTAAACTAAAGAAATACTTTTTTGAAAATGTGAATTCTGTTTTATCTTCAAAAGACAACATCCCTTGATGATTCAGAAAAGTTTTCAGATCAATACCTCGTTACACGACGTTGTTATCGACTGTGACATAAAATATAAGAATTCGGTATAACATACGAATATGTAACTTATATCCAGACATTCTAGATAGACATTCGAAGTCTGCATTTTCTGGGGTAGCTATTCCCTTTTGGCGTTATTACCATCCATGTCATGGGGTATTCAACTAATTTTATATGTAAACAGTACAGTTGTTCAACTTCGACATTGATTGACTCCTTTCCTATTGAGGTAAGAGTACCAATTATGGAAAATTTTTTGGCATTTTTTTTTCTGTTGTCTAAGAAAAGTGGGTATGCTTCAATGCTTGTAGGTTTATTTGAAGTTACTATAACTTCAATAACTTATTCTTAATTTTTTTGTATTATACTTATGTAAAATAAACAGATTTTTCTAATAAAACTAAAACAACTACTATATCTACTCGTATATTACGAAACAGCATCAAAAAGCTTTCCTTGGTGTCTTATAACTCATGCCCCTTTTATGGAACTCACGCCATGAAGTACTTTTTGTGTGATAATTTTTAGTTACTTGAAATATTTGGCTCAAATAACACGATTCTCTTTTGATACAATAACATTGTATGTAAATAAGTGAGCTGTAATAGTAGTAATTTTTACTTAAAAAAGTCGTTCTAGAGTAAAGACCAATAAATAAGAAAGGTTATGTTTAATTATGTTTCTGTTTTCCGACCATTGCACAGAGAAACTTTGTTTACTTTGAATAAAATGTAGTGATTGAGCATTTTTAGCTCCAAAATAATAAAATAAATTGTTAATTGCTTAAAAATAATTTGTTGGAGATTATAGATTATAGTTGTAACATAGCATGTGTCTTTCTCTGTTCCGTTAATTGGAACATAATCCGTGCATTAGTACTTTTTTTACCTTAAAAAATAAACGACGTTTTATTTTAATAAGAACTTATAAATATGTATAATGTTTTCTTATTTCTAGTTAAGTCATTTTCTTAGCTTTCAAAATACAAATGCCTTGAAAAAAACTACTCAGGGCAATTGTATCATTACTACGTATTTAATAATGTAAAAAAAAAAAAGAAAAAAAAATGCACAAATTTATATGATTTAAATTACTATCATTCGTATATGTGATTCTTACAACATAAAATATTTAATTTTCTCATCCATATTATTATTTACATGAATTTACTTATGAATAATAAAATGGCTCACAACTGTATTTCTAATATTTCAAATCCAAGGATAGACCACTAGGTCAATTATCTCATCGTGGGACAAACTCGTGAGCTGGTAGGCATGGACATGGTGCTCACGACCGCAAGAACTGCTATTGGTACTGATGTATAGAATAAAGTTTTACTAAAAAATGTCCATCGCTTAAAACTCCTATTTTATTTAAAAAATTTTTAATAATGCATTAATTTATTTTTTGTATTTTATGAGTGATGCAGACTGGGAAGAGTTATCTAAACAACATTTTTTCAGGTGAACTTGGATCCACAATGCTTGGAAGGAAAAAAGAGAGGTTCTTATATATAAAGAAATTAACACAGAAGGATAAGTTCAAAGAGCCTTCAGTGCTTATGACATCTCTTGAAGCATGATAATTTTTAGATTCAACATATCCAATGTAAACACAACTTCTGTTCCAGCACCTGCCTTGGCACTGAAGCAAAGCAAGATCAAGTGGATCAGGTTATTAAATTATAAAAATGAGGATTCTCCCAAACAAAGTAAGATGTCATAACATATGTTCAGTAGTCTTTAGATGAAAGTCGTGTAAAAGATTATTTACAGAATGATGTACGATAAGAGATGATTGGTATAAAAGCTTTCTCAAAAGATACCTTTGCATAACTAAGCGTTTTCCTTCATTAGTAACGTCTACAAGTTCATGTGTTTCTGAATTAAGCTTAAAAATTGATTTTAAGAGGTTCACAAATTATTTATACAAATAAAGTTTTTTGAAAACTTTATAAGTGTCTAGTCACGTATTTAACTGTGATCAAACCTATATTTAAGTTTATCCAAAAACGGAATAAGAAAAAACTATATTCTACGGTTTTGTTTACCTTTTGTGCAGAAGGTAGAAATACTTCAGCAATGTCAGTTTGTCTTCATACACGTTCACCTAGTGCTATTCCATAATTAGTGCCAGATAAATGGGGAATCGACATTACACAAAGTAGATGGATAAGTTAATAAGCTCTGTTGTAAATTAAACATTATTATTTTATGCTTGTACTGAATTACAACACACACTGTTAAACCAGCTAATGTTGCAGTATTCAATTCAATAAAAATCTGCGGAACAAAGTGTCTTTGAGTAGAGACAAAAAGTACCACTACGGTAATGACTTTTTGAAACATGGTAATGATTTTACAAAAATCGTATAGATAAGTTTTCTTCAAATAATGCTGTACAAAACAAGTAATTTTAATACATCAGGCCTCTATCCAGGGAATTTTCCCACTTTTGATTACACTAAATGTTTAGCCACTAGCTTTTATACAACTTTCAAGCTAAGTATTGATGAAATAGAAAACAATTATTAGTATCATCAGAAGCTTTTACCTTGGATACTTTCAAGAAAACTGTAGGACCAGAGTTGTTGAAGGAATAGCCATCGAAAACTTTGACTGAAACATCTCAGTTAAAAAAATCTGAAAAATTTTTTACTTTAAGAATTTTTTTCCTTTTCAACAAAAATTAAAAACTTGTATAAAAGCTGGCATAAATATCCAGGAAGAATATTGCACAGGAAGCTAATATGAGTACAGAGATTGTCAATATTCAATGCTCCAGTCACTGGAGATGAAAATTTAGACTAATTGTGCGATGAATACAAGAGGAATAGAATTAAAAGTGGTGTTTAAATTGATTTCCAGTACATAGAAAATGTTTTAAATTAGATACTTCAATGTTTACGTAAGACTTACCAATCTGTTATTTTCTTAAACGTTGATCTAAGAAGTTTTTTACAAGATGACATTTTATATAGTAGTATGCATCATGTGGTAATGGTAATTGTATGAGTGTTTGTAATAAGTGTACCAGTGCTATACTATGTAGTAAATATATCTTAGATTTATAAAGCATAAAACATATCAATATGAAAGAAACTAATAGTGGACACAAAAATCTGGGTCTTGTACATAATAAAAATAACTAGAGTAATCTAAGTAAAGTTAAAGATTTTGATACTATAATGATAGTTAAGGATACTGATGTTCTCGATTAATCTTGTAGTACTTAAGCAAATTATCTGAAAGTATTATATGTAACATATCGGTTTCTCCAAGGCATCCTCAACGTAATGGAAAGAAAATTACTGAGAAAAAAAGAGCACACCTTAAGAACTGTTGAGTGAAAATTTAAATAAATTAAAAAGATTAAGTGAATAAAGGCCGAGCTAAAAATAAAAGTCTCATAAAATTAAACGCCTTAAGGGAAAAAAAATTTTTTTTGTTTTTTAAACTCTTAAACAACAACTCACTATGCAAAAGAATTAAGTGAAAGGTTTTCAACAGATCTCAACAAGAAAAATTTTTTAAAATTAAAAAATGACTTATTAAAAAATTACCAATAAGAACTCCACAATTTTTCGTGATATAACGAAAAGTAAATGTTTATAAAATTATAGTTTGAACGATTGAGAGCCATACTTGAAAATCTAAACTATTGGTTGTCTTTTTATAATTATACTATAGAATTTCAGTACAGGTTTTAAGTATTATTCATAACTGTTTTCAGTTATTTGATGACTGTAGTAAAATTACAAACATATAAGATGTTTGTTCCAAGAACTTTTCTATTATTATTGTTTTCCTACAGTATTGAGCATCGTATTTCCATCACTACAAGCTAGGATAAGGTCCATCACTAAGCTAGGTATAGCAATGACTGTGTTTTAAAGTATTTATCAATATTTGAAATAATGATTCAAATACAGTTAAAAAACTTTTGATAATACATATTTGGGGTAAATTTTTAAATGTAAAAGATTTTTCGTGGTATTTCTTAATTTTCTTGCAATTTTATTTAATGTGGAAGTTAAAAAGTCAGTTCAATGTATTGTTTACTTCATGTACCTTAAAAGTAAGAAACAAGAGTAGTACTAATATGCTCCTTAATATTCGATACGTTTTTCATGTCTAATTTTGTGTATAGAAAGCTAAAGAAACGTTAAGTGATGTATTTTAAAAAATATCATATACTATGGAAATGAAATATTATTTTATTTAGAGGAACCAAGATTCCACTTAACGTTATTGTTAGTATATAAAATGCAATAACGTTGTAACAGTTACTGTTCATACTAATTGCATATTTTTTTGTACATTTTGTTTATTTTTCAGCACATATGCCTTTTTTGTTAGACTTAAACAATAACAATATTAAATAAAAGATACTGTTGGAAGCAACTTGTTTGATTCGTAATAGTAATATAACTATAATACAATATAAGTGACCATTAGGTAAAAGTTGAGAAATTGTCTTTAATTCAATTACCTGAGACTGCCCACTGACAATTGACTGATAAGCTGATTGGAATACATGTCCAATCTGCGTAAGACCTTCATCCATTTGGAATATTATATCTTCTGCTGAGCTATTATTAACAACAATACTATTTTCATTATCATTTGAGAGTTTTTTACTGTTGCTATCATCTTGAATTATTGTGTCCTGCTGCATAGTTCTAAGACTCTTGATTTATTAACTATTGTACGATGTATAATGTTTTCAGTTTAATTAGTTTTCACTTATGTAGTCAAAAGAAAAAGTGTATAATGTCTAGAAAGTAGGTAGAATCATCCTACTTTCTATGAGCTTTACAGGTTAGTTCAAATTTTGAATGTAAGTTGGAATTTATATGCTGTATAAAGTCTTACCATTATACTACAGTTTTTTTCTGCACACATAAAGTTTAAAAACACAAATTTTTACCCCTACAGTAACTGGTCACCAGAGCCAATAACCAAAAGTTTTATTCTTATTGCTATCTTGTTTACCACGAGAGCCACAAAAAAACATGTAACTATTTTCTTAACTCTATACAGTTTTATTAATAGTTAAAAATCATCATTATGTCACTTGCTTTTACTTATAATCCTTAAAATTTTTATTATTATGAACATTAAACTTAAAGTTTTTGTTAACAAGTTATATTCTTTTACTTAAAGAGGGACTCAGGTCCAAATGCTTAAGAGATAAACCTTGTCATCTCCTATTGCCCTCTTCCATCCTCGTATTTCATAATGAACAACTAGCCTGCAAGTTCTCATAAAGATTTATGAGGCAATTGTTCTTGGAAATCTTAATTATTTGACTTTTAGCTTTTTTAGTTTCTGTGAAGGTTAGAATATTATTATAGTTTTATAAAAACTAACTGTAAATAAGCTTGTATACTTTTATTAGTTGTATTCATAACACGTAACCTGATAATAACGATAATAACTATTTTAAAGTACTTGGTATTGTAAGTAGTATTGGCCAATTAAATTTATAGTTTAATTATTACGGAAAGTAAGACACAAATTTTGCCATATTCAGTTGAGTAATTTTGATGCCACTGACGCTTTGGAACGATAGCAGAACTGTTCCCCTTTTTATTCCAGTAAACCATCACCTTCCCCCCTGACCATCACCATATTCAGCTTCTTTGAATACTTTTGGAGAAGTACAGGTAGTGGAGCAATGTGCTCGACCACATTTGTACATATAAATCATTACTTCTTCTTTAATGCTTAACTTTTATACTACTTCATCGAAAGTATGGAGCGAGAGAAATAGATGTATAAGAAATACTTGAATTATTATTCAAAATCTAGTTTTTTTTGGGAATTTATTGGTATTTTTTCTTTGTATGCAAGTGCCCAGATACTTCTCTTTCTCATATTTTTACCTACTTATATTTTTAGCGTTTAAGTACATGAATACGATGAATTTAAATGTAGTAATCTTTTTTCCTTACTTATTTGCTTTGATTTGCATAAAAAAAAATTTGTTTGGTACGTAAAACTTAGCTTTGCAGACATTTCACTACAAAAATTTATTTTTATCCAGTCTGTTGAATTAGATAGTGTTGAACTAGAACTGATCATATAAGTCCATGAGTACAAACACTTATAGGCCGGTACCTTAGAGGGATGACACAAGCTAAGTGATAAGAAAAAAAATGAAGTTATAAGGGTATATTTCAAAGCAGATGGCGTGACCGTGTCTCTGTAAAAATGGCGTCGTTCACTTGTAACAGTATACTTACATGTACAACTTCTACTAGTGTGCCTATACATATTCTATATATAAGTGACTTGCATGTACAAGTATACTGTTATACAGTGAATGACGCAATTTTCTCTAAGGCAAGGTCGGGCCATCTGATGAATGAGCTTTATGAAATATACCCTCAATGTGAAAGTTTCAGGGAATGAGCAAAAACCACTTTATGCAAGTTACTGTCCAGAAGCTACAAAAATAAAACAAACAATTTTTTCAATACTATTTATTTGTTTGTTTTTTGTTAAAAAAAAAGAAAATATAGTCAAATGTAGTTTTGACTGTTAATTTTATTTGATCACACGATGTGCTCCTATTGACACAAAACTATAGTTTCGGATGAGACGTTACCCTATTGGTTTTGAACGAAACTGCAGAACGTGATAGCTGTCGCTTTAAAATTACTGCGTTCTCGCTTCCACAGAAAGTTTTATAACATATAAACTCCATAATGTATAAGAGTTTATAATGTCCTTTTTAAATGATACGTATTATTTATTTGCTACATCCAATCCAAAACTCATGCAAAAACAGTGTTAAGCTTTTTTAGTGTGGTGATAGACCCGTGAGAAGATCTCTGGCTTACTTATCGAACATTTAATGTGAGTTAGCTGGAAATTGATTGAATTGAAAATTTCAAGCACTGCTTACTAATCACATTTGCAAGCTGTTAAATGTGGTCAAAATTTCAGAGGACTTACATGGTCCGTGTTGCACAAGTTCAATCTTTTCTGCATCACGACATGTACGAAAAAATTTTTTCATTTAAAGATGCTACAAAATGCCCTTCAGATAAAAATTAGTTTGCTTAAATTCCCATAAAAATCTAAGCTTAGTTACAGAAAATGGTATTAGTATCTCCAAAAGTAGGGATGCTTTTTCAACCAACTTCAAGGGAAATTTTCAGTAAAGATAATTACTTGATTACTTTTACATGCATCACTTGACTTATTAAAGTGTATAACTTGATGTTTGAGTACAAAAAAATCACTATTTTAACACGTATATTACGAATAAAACCTCTGATTTCACAGTTAAGCATGAAAAATAACGAGAGGGAAGTAAATATAAAGTGTTACATAAAATTATGCCCTAGGGGAGAGACCCACTTAGATTTGCAGCATTTATGTGTTACAGACTCATTACATACTTTACATGATGGTGGTTTATGTTTTGGAACGTTCCAAGATCAAAAATGATAAAGCCCACCAGAATGCGATAGTAGATGAGCTATGGCGATTCCAGCCCAGGTGGGCTCAAGTCACCAGGCGATTTCGGCCCACTCTCTCTCCACGGCGAGTGGCCCCTCTTTTCGGGTGAAGTAGTCCCTGCTGCAGCCAACGGGCGAGCAGGAGCTGTAACTTCCTAGCATTCCTTGTACGTGCACTGCTTAAGGTTGCGTGCGCTACCTGCAGCGCTGCTTGAGTTTGCGCGCGCTGTTTGAGTTTATGCGGTGTGCATTATCGCCTGTAGCGCCACGTGCGCCAGCTGGTGATGTGCAACGCAGTGTAAGTTTGCACGTGATGCAATGAGCATAAGTCGTCTGCAGCGCTGATTTGCGAGCGCTGTTTGAATGTGTAAGATCGTATGCAGCTTGTGCACGTGGTAGTTATATGCATACAAAAGTTTTCTTGTGTTAGCGAGCGCGTTGCATGATAATGTAGGATGTGGAGTGGTGGAGAAATAATTGTTATACATTTCTTGTTTTAAAATCAGTTTATATAAAATAAAAAATGTACATGATTTAGAAAACAATTTTGTTAAACATGTTGTTCTTAAAATACAATACAATGCATTCTTACAGCTCTATATTATTATTATCATTATTATCATCATCATCAACATCAACCCATTCCATATAGAAGTAAAATTTTTTCATTCGCTTTACATTATGAAGAGCACACATAGATTTGTAAGCTCCGCTGTGATGTGTGCAAGTAGTAACCAATCTCAGGAGTTCGAACGGTGGATAGTTTGACATATCAGTCACCTTAAAGCCAAATCTTTCAAGCCACTTTTCTTTAAATCTCCAATGACATGTATCTTTTTAGAATTTTTCAGATTCTCCCGTAAAATATTTCCTATCTCTGTAAACTCAATTTTTCCCGAGTTCCAGGTTAGTCCATGATAGCAAAGTTCAAGGTATAAATTTTCATGTTTATACTTGTGAGGTAATTTTCGCCAGCTGAGGAGTGCTTTAAAAAGAAATACTTGGGCTTCTGCATTGTTAGTATTGAGCGGGAGGATAGCCAATTCTTTGAGCATATAATCTTTACCCGGTTTCTTGAAACCTTGCATGTCCACAAAATACTCCATCCTTCGCAATTATAATATTTAATTTTATTGCTTTCTTATTTTTTCGTAACCTTGATTCTTAGAACAAGATCCTTTGTTGGTTGAATATTCATCGACAAAGTTTTTCAGCCCAGATTTCTTATTTCTATCATCATCATCCTTAGTTGAGATTTTTTGATACTTAACATTAGTTGTAACATTACTCGTACACGGTTTATTTGACATATTGATTAAAGTAAAGCTTATTAAACATATTATTTTCAAACAATTTTACAGTTTTTATCTTTCGATTTTTCCACAGATTTTGTTTCATCAACTTTTATGTCTTTCTTCACGTTTCTTCTCATAAATTTTTCCCACTCTTCTTGTCATCGTTCATTTTCTGCTTCTTTTTGACTCCAGCTGTTTCTTCAACCTTTATCCATTGTGGTTGAAAATAAACTGATGCTAGCAAAGCCCTGAATCAACCTTATATCTACTCAAGTTTCTTGACATCCCCACTTATTGGACTGTGTTGAACTATACGGTCATGCAAAATTAAGCAATAAGCTGACGTTTTGGCAGGAAAATTTGTCAAATTCTAGCCTCACATCTACTGGAGCATTTTTCAATGACTCGTTTTGTTTCAAACAATCGAAAACGATTAAAGGTATTCGATTGAGAAAGTGCTGTTTGCCCAGTGAAGGTGTACAATTTTTGCCATAGTATAAATTTTGAAAATTAGCATACATATAATATAGTAATGCCAGCTGCAGTGCTGCTTGAGTTTGCGCGCACTGTTTAAGTTTATGCGCAATGTGCATTAGCGCCTGTAGTGCCGCGTGCGCCAGCTGGTGACGTGCAACGCAGTTTGAGTTGGCACGCGATGCGATGTGCATAAGTCGTCTGCAGCGCTAATTTGCGCGTGCTGTTTGAATGTGCAAAATCTTGTGCAGCTTATTGCACGTGGTAGTAATATGCATACAAAACTTTTTTTGTGTTAGCGAGCGCGTTGCATGATGATGTAGGATGTGGAGTGGTAGGGAAATAATTGTTAAACATTTTTTGTTTTATTTTTAAAATCAGTTTATATTAAATGAAAAATGTAAATGATTTACAAAACGATTTTGTTAAACATGTTGTTCTTAAAATACATAAAAATTTGGCGGAAAAAATTTATCAGTATTATTTGTATTATGTGCTTCGCTTAACCAACCACGTCGTAGCCGGTCATCCATGTAGGCTGTTGCTTTTGTCGTTTAAGGCGTTGATATGCTGCATTATATAAATCGCTGTCTTGCTTAGATGACTTAATTGATATGCTAGCCAGAAACTATTGCTTTAATAAATGTGTTTTATGTAGGGCACAAAATAGTTTTTTTCTTTTGAAATGGTTTTGCCCGTGTGTAAGGCATACTAGAGAAGAGACTTTGTCTTTAAAGTCTTTGAAAGGACGATGCATTTGGGACAAACCATGAACTTCACGTGTCAGGATTGAACTTATAAACTTAGCTTCATCACTTCCGTAAGTATAAATTCTTTTTAGGTTCTTGGCAATCATTTTAGATAATACTTTAAGTCATTAAAAGTAAAATACCCTCAAAACATTCGATTCCGTGGACTTCTACTGTCGTGATTATTACGCTTTTTTATACCTGAAAGTATGTCATTGAAATTGCAAGGTGGCTTGATTATCCAATGGCCAACAACGTCTCCTTGCAAGAAAACCACTGAAAATTATTTCGGTATAAAGTATCTGTCAGTATTATAAAAGTCGTGGAAAGTAATGATAAAATCCATGATGTGTTTGATGAGTATTTTGAAATTGTGTAAATTAAAGTTCAAAATTATTTTTCCTAATGTAGTCTTTTTTGACGAGGCTATCTTTTTTACCATTCCTGTTACTATTTGTGTCACATGAGTAAAACTGAGTGAATAATAAGGTACAACCTGTATTTATAACTTTTCTTTATCAGAGCTAATGACATCTGCCCACCCACAAGGCTGCGTAAGATTGCGCAATCTCTCTCTCCATGAGCGAGTATGAGATGCAGCTTTTCTTCTCTCCGAGTAAATAGCTTAGAAGCACAACTTTATTTTTAAAAATTATTTTCACATCTTATTCTTTAAGTATTATTTACATATTCTAACAGTTCTTTATTATTATTGGCAAAAAATTTTTTCGTCAGGAAAAATTACTTTATACA